CCAGTACTTGCCCCGCAATTCTGAGCAGCTGCAGGAAGACCTGGACAACAACTCTCGAATCCAGCAGGCACTGACTATACAACAGGTGCTGATGGAGGTAAGAACAGAAATTTAAGGAGTGGGATGCTGCCCGCCGGTTCCCCTCATAACCACTGCCTCTGCCCTAAGCACCTTGTCTGCCCTTAGGGTATGCTGCGGGAAGTGCAGGAATTCTGCAGGGAACATAACTGGCTAACAACCATTTATGAATTCCTGCAATCCTGGGGGCCTCAGAAGTTGGAGGACATGAGAGGCTGTCCCATCAAGAACTATGTGAGGCTGGTGAGCCTTCTGAATAATTGGCAGGCCCGTGTCTCCAATATGCCTATCAAGTTGCTCACAAAAGACAAGTTGCTGCTGCTGAGCTGCCACAATGTACAGGCAGAGATGGGTGAGTGCTGCTTGTCTTCCCTCCTTTCCTTCCCCCTTCCTTTTGGCTATCCACACGGCCTGCCTTGGGCCTGGAACCTTTGGAGCAGTCCCCTCATTGGTCCTATGGAGGTTCCCAAAGCTCCAGGTCCCAGGCCTTTCCCTTTGCTATCAAGGGTACGATCACCACAGAGGGCAGCCTCTCGGTTTTGGCTCTGCTCGTACCCTGTATTCCTTAGGAATCATGTTCCTGTCACCTGACACTTTCTATTCTTATGGTGTAGAGATAGCTTAAAATCCAAACATGACTGAGAGAAATCTTAGCCTGCTCCTTGAGCTACCAAGCTCAGTTTCTTTACAGAGATTCCGGGAATCTAGGGTACCTCATCTCCACCTGTAGCAGTCTAAATTTATACCACAATTTGCATATTTAAAAAGTTACTCTCTTTAACTGATCTTGTCTTACTCTGTAGTCTTAACTTCTGCCAGTGGTGAAAGAAGAACATAACCCTCCCAATTAAAGACAGCATTTTTCATTTTAAGCAGTCACTTTGGGTCTAATTTGGTCTATTTTGGGTTTTTGGTTAATTGAAAGTTTAACTACAGTTCTGGATTGTTTTTATTCTTAAGCATTCTGTGCTCCCTTTTCCTTCCCAGGGTGCTATCTGGCACTAGGGAGGGCTGCTGGGCTGTGTGCTCTTTATTTGCTGGCTTCTGAGATATGATACATCCTTTACTGTTCCCTGCCCTCCTGACCTTGCTGCTTCTGGTGCTGCTGTGTCCTGAGCTGGCGTAGCTGGGGTGTGTTCTCTTGGCCTAGTAGGGGCCCAGAGTTTCTGCTCCAGCTGGCAGGGCAGATCCTTGGGGTTTTAGTGAATCCTTTATCCAGTCTCTGCCTTAGGCTGGCCACTCCCATAGCTTTTGCTTCAAGATCCCTTGCCCCTCAACACAGGAACCCCATCCAGGCCTGCTGGCTATCAACTCTCTGCTATCTTCCATACCCACTGCCATCTGGGAGCTGTGGGGGACTTGTCGGCATTATAGCTGGTCCTCTGTTTACCATAACACAGCCCACACTATGATTTCTAGTCTGCTAGGACTATTTCATGTTAGCACAGGACACCCTGAAAGGTGACCTTGTCCCAAAGTTCCATGTGGCAAGTGGGGCTCTAGAGCACTGAATTATCTGTTTCCTCCTCAACCCGTCTTGGTTTCCCTCCTCTTGCCACTTCATAGTCCCACTAGGCCGAGGCCATTTTGGTATCCCTGGGTCTCTGAGAAATATGACTTTGTCTTGTCCACTCTCATCTTCCATGGGAGGGATGGCTTATGCTACCGTGTACTACTAGCAGGTGCCTCAGCTAGGAGCTGGCCTTGGAGAGGCTCAGAGTGGGGTAGAGCGCAAAGCCAGTGATGATTTTCTTCTAGGAAATAGGGAGGCGGTTCCGTTTCCTCACCTAGCCCCCAAGGATGACAATAACCAATAGTATCCACCTCTACAGAGACGAGTCAATCAGACCCATGGCTCTCCAGGCCTGCTTTCTTTATGAAGGTGAGAGGCCTTGGAACCGGGGCCTAGAAGGAGTTTGTTTGAATGTTGCTGCTTGCCTAGCCCTCCCTATGAGATAAAAGCACATGCATGCCTCATTAGGTATCTTACGGGCCACTAAAACTGCCTGCTCTTGTACAGGGGATTCAGGCTGGCAAGGCAGGAACAGGGAGTGCCTGTGATTGGTCTGCTTTCTCTCGGGCTCTGTTTTTGTCATGGTTTGCTCTACTGTTGCTCCAGAAGTTTGTGTTCTCTTTCTAGTTTGTTAGTTTCTTGATCCTTAGTCCAGAATCAACTGGCCTCTACAAGAGGAACATTTGGAGAGAAATAAGCACTGGGTTTAGAATCCTGGTCTTGTTTTTCCCTTGCTTTGTAACTTCAGTTCACTGAGCTTCAGTTTCTTTATCAGTAATCTGGGCATGATAATGCATTCATTCACAGGGTTATATTAATAGGAAGGAGGTTTAAATGAGATATTATTTGTAATACTCCTAGCTTTGAGTATGGCATGTAATAGTGCTTAATAATTTTTTCCATTTCACTTTACCTCTTCTGTCTATTCTCATCCTTCTTGCTGATGTAATTTTGTCTTCTTATCCTCCAACTCTGTTCCTCTTCTTCCTGGGCTCCCTTGAACAGTGGGGGACATAATTACCCATTCCAGTAAGTTGTCCTCCTCAGAAACTTGGATCCATCCTTTACTCCTCCCTCTCCTTAACCCTACTACCTCCAACCTGTTGCCCAATCCTTTTCATTCTTCTGCCTCCTAAATAGCTCTCAAATGTGTTTTCCTACTATCGACAGCTTCCAATCCCGTGGAACTCTGGTGCTTTATCAATCCGTTGCTCCTTTATACCATACGGTGTCGCTGTTGAGCTCCTGTCTACCTTCACCTGCTGGATGCTACTGGTCCCAAAGAGGCACTGTTGCAATGGCCTAGCTGCTGTCATAGGTCAGAGGGATAGTTTGACAAAGGATGAGTTCACATCTCCGTGTTCTGTTGAACATAGGGTGCCCCTCGACAAGTTCCATCCCGATAGGTGTCCGCAGTCTCAGCTCTTAGGACCCAGTCCTCGTGGTTCCTCCCTCCAAGGCTCTGAAAGTCCCATACCCGGTATGTCTCAACTAGCTGCTTCTCAAACTCACTATTTTACTTTCCAGTTGCAGAGATGCTAATAGGGGATAGGCCAATTTACATTTAATATAACATAAAAATACATATACATTTTTATGTCCAGTAAACACAGCAATTTGAGCAGATCGTAATGGCCTACTTTTAGCCAACTGAAATTACACACATACATACAAGAATACTCAATAGAAAAAGGTCTGTGCTTAATAATTTGCATTTTTCTCTTCCCCTCTCCTAGCTTCCTAAATTAGTAGGCTCAGGTCAAGTATAAATTTGGTGAATTTGGTCCAGAATTATGTTAGTGCCCTTTATGGTTTAGAAATTCAATAAGCTACTCTTCTCATCCCTCCCCTAAAATTTATTTGAAGAATCTGGGCTTTTCAATCCCTTCTCTGCCATTTATGAGCTCTGTGACTTTAGGCAAGTAACTCAGTCCTTGTAAACATCAGTTCCTTTTACTATAAAATAAAATAATGGTAATAATAATAATATCTACCCAAAGGATTATTGGAAGAATAAATGACGATATATTTGGAGCCTTAACACAGGCATATATTAGGGGTCAGTGATGATTACAACATGTTACTGATACCTAATTTTTTATTTAGAATTCAATTTTATGATGATTATATTTTTATGTAAT